CTAAAACACATTATACATGAATATTTAAAATATATGTTAAAAACATTATAATAGTTGCCAATTTTTTTTATAAATATCAAACATATTACTGCTTATCTAATATTTTACTAACAAATTTGCAAAAATGATCCCTGTGGTATTTATTATTTTGGGGGGTTTTAGTCAAATCCACGATTTTTTTGGATTGGTGGTGATTTTGAGGTAGTTTCGTTGCGTTTTTGGTCTCTCGGTAACTGAAATGACTGTAATGTCATTTTGATATTTTTTTATGTTTTCTCTATTTAATTTAAATGAAAAAAAAATAAATAATTAACTTGGACTCACGATCCCCACCTCATTCTTCCCCAGCCGAACCATTCACCGTCATCGCTCTTTGCTTCATCCCACACCTTCGTCTTCTTCTCTCGCACATTTGTTTGAGTTCATCTCCTCCATCTGGTGTTTTTTCGGTGGCCTACATCTGTTTCTGATTAGAAACATGTGCTTTTTTCCAAAAATTTGAAACGTGTAATATAATGGTGTCGGTGACTCCAATTTATGGGGTTTTTTTGTTCCTAAAATCAAACCCCAAATCGGAAACAATGTCTAAAAATTGTCTTTGTTTTTTTGTTGCCAATTTGGTCATATCGGGGTGAACCTCCACAAAGCCAATGGTCGTTTCAAGGAGGTGCAGAGAGGCAAAGGGAGGTTCGTTAGAGACGTGGAGTAGAGATGTCACTTACCTCATACCCACCACTACAATTGACCACCACCATCCACCGTAGAGGTCACTGGCGGAGGTCACTGATGATATCCACAGGAGAAATCAAATACAAAGGCATCATAAGTCACTGACGGAGGTTACCGACAATGTCTGTTTCTCAATCCTGTTTTCGAGATCGACAGGCGAGGTTATCAGCGAAGCTTTCACGTGTTGGCGAGGTTATCGGCGGCAACTCTGGTGACAGTGAGTAACGAGGAAGACTTATGGGTTATTGTCTGGTGGAAGAGCATTTTCAATGGAAGGGAATCAACGAAAGGGTTAAATGCAATTAACTTAGAGGAGATAAATTGGTTAGGTGGGATCTAAGAATTTTCAATTGATTCGATATGGACATTCATCTTTTTTTGTTTATGAACAGAATTAATGTTTTAGGGCTGGTGGTTTGGTTGGAGATGAACATAAGAGAGAGAGAGATGTTTTGGGGCTGGTGGTTTGGTTAGAGAAGAGAGAGAGAGATGGACATCTTTTTTTTAATTATTAAAATAACTATTAGATTTAAAAAATTGAAAGAAAAAAGAAAAATAAATACCCCAAGGGTATTACAGTCATTTCACTTTACTGAGGGACCAAAAACGCAACGAAACTATCTTAAAAGGACCACCAATCCAAAAAGTCATGACTTAGACTAAAACCCCAAAAAAATGCATACCACAGGGACCATTTTTACAATTTTGTCTATTTTATATATATAAGGAATGCAAAGTCCATAGATTAACAATAAACATGAGACTAATCGTTGGAAGGGATCCATCTGATATTCGGAAAATACATAATTTTGCAAACTGGCTTTTGGATATAGGAGAAGGAAAAGTTGGTGGTTCGAACGATGGTGAAACGATTATTGATGTTCCGGATGATATTCGCATTAATGATCCACATGATCCTATAAGTTCATTAATTAAGTTTGTATATCCTTCAATCTTGGAAAAATTCAACGTTACGAGTTATTTTCAAGAAAGAGCTATACTAGCTCCAAAAAATGAAGTTGTCCAACAAATCAATGATCGTTTGTTAGCATTGTTTCCCGGAGACGAAGTAGAATATTTAAGTTCAGATAGTCTTTGCGTAACATACACGTTCAGTTATCGTGTTATGTAATTTTAAAAGTGAAAAATATAATGAAATATTATATGAAATTGAGTGTTGAGTTCTAACAGATAGTTTTTACTAGAAATGAAGTAAAACTATGTTTAGAATCACTCGGAAAATATTGGAAGTCTTATGAGATTCCAATCAAAAGTCAAATATTGAAATTTAACGAAAATATAAAATTTGAAAATACGTAAAATTATATTAATGAAAGTTGTAAAGAATCTCGTTAGAAACATTTAGGCGAAAACCTCATCGAAATCCGAGTTATAACGAAGAAGTTATGACTTATTAAAGTTTCGCGACGAAACCGACACGACCCCGAATGACGTAAAAAGTGAGTTTTCGATAAACTACTTTTTAGTCTTAGTGATCTAAATGAGAGTCGTAGTACTTGTTAAACCGAAAATTTTCATAGAAAGAACTTCCAAATCTGACTTCGTATGAGGAACTTATGATTTTTCTAAGTTTCGGAATAGTAGTAGACAACTAAAACTCGAAATAAAGATCAAGCGATTTTTAGCCAACGCAACCTAAACGAGAATCGAAGGTCTCGTCAATAGTAGTACAACAACGGACGTCAGATGAAAAAGTTATGAATTTTTAACGGAATTTTCCTGTCCCGGCCCGTTAAAAATATAATAATAAAAATGAAATCAAAATTAGCCGACGGAGTCTAAACAAAAATTGTAGAGCATAATCTTACCTACGCGTTGATATAAAGAACGTCAAAAACGGAGCTCGTACGCAAAAGATATGAATTTTCGAAGTTTTTAATAAAAATAAATGAAAATTCGAAGCCTTATCCGAAGGGTACGCCCAGCGTACTTCGCACTTGCAGGGCCTTGGATCAGCCACGTCGCCGGTCTTCGCTCGGATGCCACGTATCGGATAAGATTGCCACGTCCGAGACCTGGGTTCCAATCAGAGGACACGCCTCGCATGTACGCCCCGCGTACGAAGGCTACGCCCCGCGTAGATGGCCGCCTCGGAGTACGTCTAGCGTACCGATGACTTACGCCCAGCGTAATGCGAGCCTCGGTCCCCTATAAATAGAAACCGAGGGTCTCCGGATTTATGTTACAAATTCTATATCCTTTCATCCTCTTTCATCCTTTTAGCCTACTTTTAACCCCCCGAAGCCCCGATATCAATCCCGACACCCGAAGCAAGTCCCGACGCTCCGAAGTTCCCGAGAAAATCATATTTTCTAGTCGAAACTCTGCCCGAGTAAGGTCGGTTTTCAACTAAAATCTCCGGTTTCGTCACATAAAGTCATATTTAGAGCCGAAGTGCTGTCCAAATTATCATTTATTCCTTCGGTTATTTCAAGGTGAGTTCAATATATAGGAACAATTGTATGTTATGTGTTATATGTGCTATATGCTTTCCTGAGTTATTTTAGTTTTATACTGTTGATCATGTAGAGCATGTCTCGTATCACTTCTGGTATTGGCTTTGAGCCTCTGGCCATGTAGAGCATGTGTCGTATTATTCTGGTATCGGATTTATGTCTTTGGCCATGTAGAGCATGTCTCGTATCACTTCTGGTATTGGCTTTGTGCCTTTGGCCATGTAGAGCATGACTCGTATAACTTCTGGTATTGGCATAGGGCTATGTAGGGCTGAAAGCCTGTATATTCTAGCAAAATGATAATCCGAAATTGTATGTCTTCTGTGCCATCTGGGCCGAAGTGTTATTGATGTATATCAAGTATTGAAATTGTTATGTCTCGTTGATTGTATATCTTTGAATCAAATCATCGATTGATATGGAAAACTTGTCGCATGATTCACATATGTCTTTGTTGTTCCTTGTTCCTCTTTGCTTCTGCCATATTGAAGTATATATATAACATAACGTTATATTGTATCTATTATTGAACTCACTAAGCGTCACCGCTTACCCTCTCAATGTTTAACAATTGCAGGAGATAAGTAACCAGTATAATCGTATACTGTTGGAAGATTTAGAATAGTTTATACTATTACTTTTGTATTTGAGTTTATGTTTGTATAAAATTACAATATCCTGGGTAGTTATGTAATATACTAAAACTTAGTCGGTTTGTATCCAGTCTTTTGTAATCACATTATCAATGTAAAATATTATTTATAAATATGCATCTAGCATGTTTTGGAGTAACAATATTGTGAAGTTTGAAAGTTTGGGTCTTTCAATCATATGAAAGTGTGGGTCTTTCACTTTGCCAATCAGAGTTTGTTCATGATCAGTTTGATCCCAATTTATACTCCCCAGATATTTTAAATGGTCTTAAAGTATCAGGTTTGCCAAATCACAAGTTAATTTTAAAGGTCGGTGTTCCAGTTATGTTATTAAGAAACATTGATTAGAAAAATGGCTTATGTAACGGCATTAGACTACAAGTCAAATCTCTAGGCAAACGTGTTATTGAGGCAATTATCATATCTGAAAGTAATATTGGAAACCAAACCTTTATTCCAAGAATGTATTTAAGTCCATCTGAAAAAAAAAATTCCCTTCAAATTTCAAAGAAGACAATTTCCATTGGTTGTATGCTTTGCAATGACAATTAATAAAAGTCATGGGCAGTCGTTATCAAAGGTTGGTCTGTATCTCAAAGATCCTGTTTTTCACATGGAGAGTTGTATTTTGCCTTATCTAGAGTTCAAAGTGGAGAAAGATTGAAATTGTTAATTTTAGATAAGGATGGTAGACTTACAAACAAAACTTCCAATGTTGTGTATAAGGAAATTTTTAAAAATTTATAAATGCTTCGTAGTTTTTAAATTCAAACAATTGTGTTTTTTTTATTTTTTTTATTACATTTATTTAATATTTAATTTTTTTTATATAGCATTGTAATTTATATTATTCATTGTGTTTCTCTTTAACATCTATTCAAATTTATATACTTTTTTACAAATATATATTCATATTAATTTTAAATAATCAATACAAAAAGTGTTAAACAAACTTAACGCTTATTAATAATATAAATTTTTTACCCGTGGTTCTCACGGGTTGTAACCTAGTATAGAATATTCAAGTCAAAGTAGTTAAACTTCTCACTTCCATTGCAGGAGATTAACATACCACCACTTCCATTGCCATCGCCGCCATGATCATTGATCATCACCATCTTTTTTTTTTTTTTTTTTTTAAATCCCATTATAAAAAATAACAAATTCTCAACCAAGAACTCGAATATTACATTACAAACAAAATTCTCTTAACTAACAATCGTGAATAACATTTATAAGCGATTTATTATATCATCAAATATAAACCTCATCTACATTGGTGTCTACTAAAATTGGGATTAGAAGTCAACTTTTTTAACAATGTTGCCAATCTTCTACCACCTGCCCCAGGCTTCAAAACACCAAACCCATCGTTATGAAAACTTGAGCACTTTTGATGCTTATCATCATCATCACTCTTCAAACACCAACCCCCATGAGAAAAATGAGTAGGATGACTTCTTTTGAGTATTTCATGGTCAATTCTATCAAGAACTGCATTGTTGTGCTTGAATTTTCTTGCAAAAGGGCGATTACTTAAAACCATTTTTCTATAATCTCGGGGTCCAAGCAACCTTGGGTGCTGTTTTGGAGGAGTGTCCCATGTGATGTAATGAAGATCATGGTTGACTGTCGTGTTCTTGTACTCTTTTGAGTTGCATATAACAGTTTGAAAGTATCCTTCTGGAGATGAAACAAAATTCGTGTAGTAAAGTAGGAGTGTTCGTGGTAGGTTTTCATAACCCATTATGCAATATTCTGCAAATGATCTTGATAATATAGTCCATGCTGAACCTGTATGATAATATACATATTAATTTATATACTGACCTTTATTATGCCATATATTTGAAGAATGTTTTATATTTGGATGACATAACAGGGTAGATTTCAAAGTACAATGTTGTAATAGGAAGAAATGAAAGTAGGATGCTAGAATAAACAAATCAATGAAAGTATGTTGATAAGTTTTTGGACAATTTTACACATGAACAAATACAACGTAATTAAGTTTATGTTAACGTAAACACAATACCTAATTTCTCCGAAAACCTTTTTATGTCGTTGCTTAATTATGGAAATACATGAACTTTATGTACTAAAAAATTGACCCTACCATGGATCAACAGATCTTTAGATACAACACTAATCATAGGATTTTTTTTTCTTTTTCTTTTAAGACACACGAAAATGTGATGACTCTTTTTTTTTTTTTTTTTCACTTTGATTTAAGAGGAAGGTAGTTAAAGAAAATTTTGGTGCTTTTTCAGAAGTTCACATGGTATGTCATTAAAGTTATTACGTACACCTACAAAATAGCATGTTACATGGCCCCCACATGGATTGCCTCATTTTTTGTCGCCCCAAAACAATGTAAATTTCCTCATCACAAACTCAAAATTAATTCAAGATTTGCATTGGAGTTAAAAGAAACTGAACACGTTGATGAAATGAAATCAAGATTTGAAACATAATTGAAGAAGAAATGAAAGAAAAATTAACCTGTATACAACTTGAAAGCAGTGGGGAGAGTTCTTTGCTTGATTACCCACCATATCTCTGATTTATTTGAACTGTAAAGACCTGGGTCGATCATTATTGGCTTCCCTCTCTTGTTCCTGCAAATAATTATTCAACTTAATGATCAATTACTAATTCACTTTGTACATTTTTTTATCAAGATTTGGAATTAATTGCATTTAAATTATCAAAGGGAAAAACAGATTGTGATTGTTGAAATAAATATAATATCATTATCAGGTGCTTGTTGAGTATCAAATTATCTGATTTTGAATTTAGAAGTACGATCCAAATGCCCTCTTGGCTTTATGTGACATGTGTTTTTCTTATCTTCCCCAATTATAATATGTTGAAAAGAGAATTAAATTACTCATTCAGCCGTATTATAATTGGAAAAAGAATCGACTTTTCTTGTAATTTAACACAAGTAATCAAATGGTTTATAAAACAACTACGATAAAAAAAAAAAGATCGAAAATCAACAATCAAGAATCGACTACGTTTTTCTAGAATTTAAAAGAGAAATGTAATTTTAATGGAGAGATGGAAAATGATGGCATCTTACAGTTTCCAACCCAACCGACTGCTGTGCTGGATGAAATTGAGATGTCTTGGCAGCACCGAGAAGGCAGATATCAGATCTGAAAATGGCGATCACAAAATCGACAAAACATAATCAACAATTAATTCATCAACATGTTCATAAATAAGAGAATAATCTCGAGATAATCAAAACCCTGATTCCCTAGAAATAATGTAAGTACTCACCTTACCATCTTGAGTGACCAAAGGGTAATCAGAAGCACTGAGATTAATAAACCAATCCCACTGTGCATCTATCCTCAAAAGCATCGACATGGCGTGCAAAGTAGTCGCAAGCATCGTTGGTCCTCTGTACGTCACTCTATTAGGTTTCCCTACAATCATAACGTTCCCCACAAGTTGGAAAACATGATTATCCCTAACGAATCTCGCAATCTCTCGATGTTCATCTTCCGTAGCTTCCCGTTCCAAATGAATCAAGTACAAGTTCCCCGGATGGTAAAGCGCTTGAATCGTTCGTTTCAGCTTGGCAGTATCGCCTTTGGATGCAGAGATCAAGTAGGCGAAGGAAACTGGGTATGGCCTGGTGTTGTTGATCGATTTGGGGATTAGGAGAGTTGTTGGGATTGATGATTGGTTTAGTATGTTGATATCAAATGAAGTTGAGTAGGTGGATATGTAGAGCATTGTGAAGAAAAGTGATATGAGAATGAAGGAAATTAGGAATAACTTCAAACCCATTTTAGTTTGAGATCCAGGAGATCGATCTCCAACAAAGAGTTGTTGGTTAAGATGAAGTAGATGGCTGTAGTTGGAGGTTAAATATGAACAAAGATGAAAGAGTGCAGATGAGTTGGTGTGTTGCGTCCATTGGAAGGGGGTTAAACTTAAATATGAACAAGGAAAAGTCACTCTCAAAGTTGGGTGTTACAGCCAGCCTACAAATTATTTTTATGAATACGATAAAATTATTATTGGAGATATTATAATCTTTAGTTCAAATATATTAATATAGAATTCAAAAAACTCAATGAAAAAACGATCTTCGGTGACAAAGTGTAAAAATTTTAACCATCCTAAATATGATCACATATTTTATAATATCAAATTCTAATTGTATGAATTGGATTTTGAACAAAGATAATTACTTTAAAACATCACGTAAACCAATAACCAACGATTTAAAATTGTTTGAAAGAAGTTAGTCAATTTATCTCTAACCATATTTCATGTTTAAGACTCATTGCTAACTCTAAAATCGTTTATTGCAAACCATTTAAAAGTTAAAAGTTCACCTATTTTTATAAAACACAATCGACTTGATGTTGTACAAGAAAGCTAATCACTAAATTAAAATGACATATACATTTTAACTCCAAAAGGTTTGGGTAATTTGACAATTTTAAATGCATAAGATACATAAACACGACTCTTTTACAAGCATGTCTTGAAAAAAAATCGAATATTAGTATTTCATGCAAAGTTAATTGATTTGTCAACCAATCACGTAAAATCATTTTTTATGCGTTAAAACAAGTAACATTAAATAAAATTCGTAAAAGGACCATTAATTTTGTAATTTATTTACGTTTCTATCTTAAGTATTTTTTCTTTATATTATAGGTAATCATGCAAAAAAAAATTTATACACAAAAAATTGTTTAATTAAACATGGTAATTATATATATTTTTTTTAAATGCTATTTCTTTATATACATTTTTTTTGCCTATTTATATGGATTTAAACGTAAAAATACTTTTTAAGTAAGAAATATATATATATATATATATATATATATATATATATATATATATATATATATATATATATATATATATATTCGTATTTAGAAGTATAAATACATTTTTAGAATATAAAATTGTACTTTTATGTTTTTTAGAAGTATAAATAATTTTAAAAAAAATAATATGTTATTTAAAAGTATAAATACATATTTAGAAATATATCAATAGAAAACGTGTTTATAAAAAAATATTTATACTTCTAAAAACATAAAAATACATATTTAAACTTTTAAATACTTAAAAATATGCATTTATACTTCTAAAAAAACATAAAATTAGGTATTTATGCTTCTAAAAAAAGTAAAATTATATACTTATGTTTATAAAAAATACATTTATACTTCTATAAATATAAAAATATGTATTTATACATTGAAAAAACATATTAATATTTCTAAAAATGTATTTATACTTCTAAAAATATGTATTTATAAGTATAATATGAAAAAAAAAATCTTAAGGTAAAAACATAAAAAAAATTTATAAACTTAAAGGTTTTCTAGCGAATTTGACTTCATGATAACATTGAACATGTGATAATATAAAAAAATGTCAAAAACAGAATAAAAAAAAACTTGCAAAGTTCCATTTTCAAGGCATCAAAAATGAGATAAAACCATATTTAAAAAAAAAACACCCTTAAATATTTTAATGCAAATACCCCTTTAGTTAACTAAAAAAGTAGTTTTCTAAGTGAATGTTTTCTATTATTTACATACAATTGTACTCTAATTTTCCGTTCATTTACATGCATATATATTACAGTTTTATTGTTAAATTATTTTAAAAAAACATAAATTTTCTTTCAAGTGTTAATTTTAACGTTTTTAATGATTATTATGGTTGGCAACAATGTCGAATCCAGGATCCAAATACACGTGTGTCCAACTTAATAATGGTAATAACGGGTTGATGAAGCTTGTTTATTGGGTGGGGTTATCGTGACGGAGCGTGTTGGACCATAGACGAAAAGTAAACTTAAAGCTACCAGTAAAATCTATCGACCCGTTAACTGAAAGTAGAGAAACAATCAAAAAGTTGGAGAGGGGTAGAGAACGGTGGTAGTGGTTCCTGCAACAATTTTATATTAATTCGGTTGAATATAAAAATAAGGGTATCGATTTATATTATTGTTACTACGTAGCCTTCCGGATGGATGTTAGTCAATCGAGAAGGTCATTTTCTAATGCACAATCGGGAAGGCACGTTGCAAAAAATAGACAAATGCTAGGTTAGAAAGCGATACCGTGGGATGAACCATAATATAACTCTCCAATGCCTAAGTTAGATGTTGATTCATGTAACGTCCCAAAAATTACAAAGAGATTTTCTATCAAGAATAAGATTTACCGATTAAAACCTTTAATTTAAAAAACATTGAGTGACATTCATTTACTTGAAATCATGGAGTTATCAGAGTCAATTTACAAAAGTAGCAGAATCAATATATTTGATGTGTATATACAATCCCGCCGAGCTCTTTTCACGAACAACTTGCAGCATAAAGTTTAGTGAGTTCCCCAGTGGCCCAGTATACCACATATTCCACCATACATATAATGCATCACATAAAGTTATGCGCTCTAACATCGACTTATCAACATACATACAACATACATATCAATACAGAACGTGTGAATGTTATGGTCCTCCTACAGTCTTACAATCACTCATTGTTGCAGTCTTCATGGAGTCTTAATTGTTATGGTCCTCCCACAGTCTTACGTACGGTTGTCATGGTCCTCACATGGTCTTCTTGGCATGGTCCTCCCATGGTCTTTCATACAAGTGACATGGTACTGCACAACAAATAAATATATAAAATCCATACGTTATAGAAGAAATATGACATAAATGTCGGACCTACACCACATAGAGCTGCACCAAGGAACTGCCATAGAGAACACTTTGTGCCCAAAAAGATCCAAGTAAAAAAGAAAATACCACATACTAGAATTTTAATAAACTACAACTCTTTCCAAGTTAAGATTGAAATAGCACAAAAATAACCATAATATTCGGGTAAATTCACATCGTCTAAAAAGAGTACTATTTGTAAATTATAATCATGTAAAAAGATACACTTTCTTTACAATCATAATATCAATAATCACTCACAATAAATCAGAAAACTTATAATTTCAGAATTCAGAAAATTAATATAGCTTCAATTTTATAAAACTAATACCTCAATAAATAACAGAGAAATCGGATGTCGTGACCTTATCGAACTCCAACATGTTCGATCAATTATAATGTAACCCCAATAGGAAACAATCCAACTCCTGAAACAAACCACAAAAATTAGATAAAAGATGAATATATGGTGATTGATGACAGTAGGTTTAGAGATAAATAAGAACCAAAATAAGAGAAATCAAAAAACAGAAAACCTCAAAACCTTGTCACTTTTGGTGCCCTTGAAGGTTTACTTCAGATTAAAAAAAATGAACTCACAATATCAAAAATCGAAGTCCAACTTGACAACACATAAAAATCAAAAATCACAATACTAAGGACTAAAGGTGATCGATTGAGTCGGAAATCGATTAAAAAGATCCTTAGAGGGCTCCTTGATCTCTACAACGTGCATTTTTCAATATGTTCGATTGGATTTACCGATTTGGCGATGTAGATCTTGAGGTGCTTCAGTTGATTGTGATACCGAATATCGACTAAACTTATTGGACTAAAGTTATTGGAATAAAATTTTAGGCCAAAATAATATACATAGTATTTATTGTTGGATTAAATTTATGACCTTTATTCTATGGTACCCTAGGCTTTAGCCCAAATCACCCAGGTGTATTAGGTCAGGTCTGACGCCAAGGGTAGATTCTGGCATCTCGGTCGGGTTTTAACCGTTTTGAAGGCCATGATCTTGGGTTCTAATTATGTTGTTGCGAAAGACAATGATTTCTCTCTTATTATTGTGGAGAAAATTGTTATCTGCATGGGGAAAAGCAAGAAATCGTAAAAAATGTTCCATACGGAAACAAAGCTGCGTTTAGCGATTTGGATCAAATTATCACAAAAAGTGAAACTATAACAAATAAGAGAGAAGCTGAGGCATACCCGATTTGCATCATGAAATTTTATATGGTCGATTTGTACGTGTTGCAGTCAGTGTAAGGTCACATCCGATCTCCCCAAACTCGTGAAAGGCTTATAGTGTCTCGCCAAGTCGGATCCTATTGTTGGTTACACAGTTGAAGAGTCTAGGGAACATGTTGTTGCTTGTGTTGGCGAACTCCATTTGAAAAGCTTTTTAGAGGCTTTGAAGGCCAATTTCATTGGCGGGGTAAAAATCGATGTGTCCAAACCGTTTTTTTTTCTTTTGGTGAAACAATTTCAAAGATATCATTAATGAGAAAGTCTTCAAACAGACATAACCTTCTCTCCATGAGGGACAAACCCATGAGCATCATAATTGATGACGCCGTAGAGGATATGCTAATTGGTCCAAATGAGGACATTGAAGTCTGTGGAAATATTTTTTTTTTCTAAAAATACGATTAGGATAAAGATTTCACAAAGAATATATGTGCTTCGGTCCCAACGGAACCGGGCCAAACATGTTAGTTGATGGGTGTAAGGTAGTTGAGCACTCGCAGGAATTTAAGGCATTTGTTGTTGCTGGTTTCAGCGGGCTTGTAGGGCAGGTGCTTTAGCTAAAGAGAGTATGCTTGCCCGAATATGGTACATGGTTCTCAAGAAAAATTTAGGTTTTTTTAATTCTAACCTAATTTTGCTAATTAATGGTAGTGAAATCTGCAGGGACCTAGGACTGGGTTTCTTTTGTGGGTTGATGAGGCTGAAAATCGTGGGCATGATGTTGAAGTCCAAAATCAAACCTTGAGGGAAGTGGTAATCCAAAATTGGAGCCTGAAGATTTACTCGAAGGAGGTGGTAAGACAAAATCGGAACATAAAGATTTGCTTAATGCTCAGTTAGGTTTTGTTTGTTGGCATAATTGTTTACAAGTTGTAATATGATGTATCTTAGAACTGAACTTGTTATGGATCAATGATAAGGGTTTTTTGGTTTTTGGCAAAATCGGAACCTGATAATCTCATTGTCCGCCTCCTTCACCTCCCTTCCTCTCAGTGACTCCACTAACAAATCCAAGGTACGATCAGAGATATTCAATTGCAGAAATCGATAGTCTCAACTGCAGAAGTCAATACAGTCCAACAACGTTTTCCCCTTTTACATGCCCGTGATTTAGACTTTTACAATTTGATTTGACTTTGAAATGGAAAAATGCATAATTGGAACAAGAAACTGACTACTAAAGGTAGATGGACTAAAAATACAGGTCACTAATAACTTTGTTTCCTTAAAAGGCACGAAAATAACTTAAGGGACTGAATGGACAAATATGTAATACATAATAGGGCTAATGTGTTATTTTATCTAAAAGATTATTTGATTTTAAGGGGTTTTTTTGAAAATTTAAATAAATTAACCCAAGTTCAACGTATTTATTTAATAGGTTGAGTTGGAAAAACAACAAACAAGTCCCATTTACCAAAAAAGTTGGGTTAGGTTTGTGGTTTGTAATTCTCAAAATATTTACTTAATCAGTTGGGTTAGATATTAATTTTCAATTCGTTGAATTAAACATGTCAATCCATTTATGACCTAAACCCAGTGTCCTCTTATTTATGTCAATTAATGCTTAAAATAAAAATAATAACAATAATAATAATAATAATTAGAAGTTGTTTTATGTACATGTTTTATTGAAGTATATAACGACTAATTGATGTATTTTTGTAAGAGTTAATAGTTTGGTTATTAAAAAATTATGTATAAATGCAGCATGTAGGACGTATGAGTTATGACTTATGACGTACATGGCTTTAATTCTAACGTCTACGTAGCATTGTGCCATCCACCAACTTAAGATATTGGACAGAACAAATGGGTAACGAAAAAGGAGGATGGTCATTGGCCCAGGTGCCTCATCCCTCTTTAATTTTGTATTTAATATTATGAAGTTTTTTTTTAATATAAATAAAAAATCGTAAATAAAAAGATAAATCCCCATTAAAATAGAAATTGACACAAATGTATAATATTTTACAAAATTTGCTCATTCAACTTGTAAATCCAAAGACACAAGAATCTTGTTACATTTTCTTAAAATAGATGACAATACCAGCTGAAACCAACATAGACATAGTCACATAAACATAGCACCCTAATGAAAATGTAATTTGAAATGCTTTTGTTACTTGTCATACTTGGAGTATTCCTAAAAGATGTATCTTCATTAGACTGAATAAAGCCACAAACAATAATTGTCTATTTAACAGACCAAAACTTTGCTTGTTAAACTAAATCCAATTTTATTATATGAACAAAAACATATATAGAAATTATGCTACCGCTACAGACAAATAAATATACATCAATCATGTAATATGCAAGTTGATAAAGTGAGATATACATTATACCTGGGCTTTACTTTGGCCATTTGACCTGAGATTTCTATTATAAACTGTTTCCGTGTGGAGTCAAAACTGCAAGAACAAGTTGTTATTGACTTAAGGTAATCGCATACTTATGTTGTAAAAAGATCCATCTCATCTCATGATGTGGCTCGCTGCACAACTTCCTTTAACACGATGATGTCATCACGTGGATGAGCTTCTTCAACCCTAACCTGCACCTCATCCCCAACATGTGACCCTATTGACACCCATGTAGATGCCTGAAACCCAACCTGCATAAATCATAATAGTAGTATGCAACCAAATAAATTATTTAATTTTATTATTTGTGAATTGGAACAATAATACTTTATTAAATGTTTGGTTGCTTTACCTCCAAAAGCAGTAAAATTGCATTCCGATCTTTGACAAATTTAAGGATCAAGGCGCGATACTTTCTTTGTTTGGGTTGCTGTCTCAAATATTGTAGAATCCAATAACGTAAGCTGCTACCAAACAACTTCTTTGCTATTCTAGCATTCATGTTCACCGATGCAGCCATCCCTTCCAGTTGTCCAGCTGTAAACGGAATACCATCACCTCTCAGAAACGCCTTCACCTACATACAACACACATTTTTAAAAATTAGTGACATAAAAAATATCCTCAATTAGGTTTCAAAAATAATTATTTTACCTGATAATGAGCAAGAAGGTCCATATATCTACGAATGGGAGACGTAAACTGGACATAACCAGGGATCCCTAAAATCCCATGGCGTATGGCCTTTCTGTAATCCATTTCAGCAGCACGCATGATTTTGATGATAGCAGAGTTTCGGACCGGGCCTTCCGGAAGATGATCAAATGCTGACATGTCGATATTTGATTGGGGCTGGCCCCTGTAGGGTAAAGGGATCTTGTTACAGGAACCAAATCTGGCTAAAGCTTCCCCACAAAGTATCATCATCTCAGAAACAAGTCTCATTGCGGGGTCCGTTTGGTCTTCCACATATAATCGAATCGATGGTTCTGGATCATCTGGATTTTCCACTTTTATTCTAGGTTCCAATGACCCCGTCTCGATTGCACCCTATAAATCATTTTATAGTTTTCATAATTGTAAATATTTTGTAAAATAAAATTATACCAGTACATACAAATGACCAAACCTGTCCTCGTCGCCATTGAAGACGTAGACTTGCGGCTTCAGAAAGAGTCCTGAGTTCCAACTCTTCTTCAAGATTTAAATGAAGAAGCTCGGATGCACTCTCGTATGTTAACATATAAGTTGGTCTAATAATTGAATTATTTACTGTGTACTCTGCAATGCTGTTATCAAGCATTGTAGTAAGATCACAAAAATATATACATATAAATGAACTGAAATTTAAATTGTTTTATTACCTGCCATCAGAATGCAAAACAACTGATACAGAAACAGCCCTGCAATTTGTTCCTTGTTTCAAGCTCATTCCTTCCATGGCAAGTTTCTCAGGGAACATTGGATAGGTGGCAGTTGGTAAAAAAACTGACGTTCCTCTTTGTAATGCTTCTCTAAAGTGTAACAAACATTAGATGATTAAAGTTTAAATAATTTTTATGTAGACAAGTAAATGTACCTGTCGATCATGCTTCCTGGCTGAACAAAGCTAGATGCATCAGCAACATGTATCCAGACTTTGATACGCCCATCTTGTAACTTTGTTGCACTCAGTGCATCATCAAGCTGTAAATTTTTTGTCATTTCAGATACTGGTAGTAGATCTTAATTAAATTAAAATGATGAAAGCATCTTAACCTCATCTGCTTCATCCACATCTATTGCGTATACTTTCAGATGTGTCAGATCTATCCTATCGTCCTACCATCAACATTTAGCAGTTAATATATTAGATTCATGATGATGTTCAACATTATAGCTTGAAATAAGAAGCAAATGTACCTTGTCTGGATCAGGTGATTCTAGAAGAAGCTTTTCAGCAGCTGACAATATCTTATCTGGAAAATCAGTACGTATGCTGAATTTCAGGAGATCAAGATTAACATGTACTGGGAAATATCCAATATCTATGAGGAGATTTACTGCTGCAGCAGCTGTCTTTGCTAACCCCATTGCCTTCAGGATCTGATAAAAAACACAAGACTCCACATTGCCTTTTTTTGTCTATGTAACACCCAAACTTTTAAGAATTTATTATTTTATAGTCTTTCATGCTAATAATAAGTTGTTGGATTTTTATGTCGTTTTGTGTACAGGTATTGAGAAAAAGTAGAGTATGTGTGATGCTGGTTGTCTGAAAGTGTGTTCTTCGATTAGTTAAAGACATTCAAAGATGGGTAAGCGGGTAGTTGGGTTTAGGTGATTAAAACACTAAACCCACTATGAGATGATTCATGAAAGTGATACCTTGAGTAGGTAATCATTAATAAAGTCTTTAACCCCATTACGGGGATGTGACTGAATGCTAATACAACACTGATATGAAATAGATATATGATAGAAAATTACCGTTCCCGCAATATTCCTTTGGCCATCATCTTTACAAGCATCTATAGCAAAAGCCTCAAGAGACTCGATCCTGTGCCAAATTCTCTCATCAACTTTCCAAGAACATTTAGACGGTTTGCCACGTGGAGGCATCGCTTTTGCAGATTTTAGTAACTCTAGAAACTCAACAAATTCCTTATCGGCTGCCTCCTTGGCAACCAATCTACGCCTAATTTCTTCTACCTACATTTTTTAGCCAATCAAACTCAGTTTCAATCAGTCAATATAATTAAACAGACATCAGAAGAAATAACAATAACATTATATACAATGCGAAAATCGATCAGAAGGCATACCTGAGCAGTTGTCCGAGGACCATAAACAGAAGAAGGACCTCTACTGTCAAGCACAGTGAAATAAATTTCATCTCTTGATAGCAACAGATGTGCACAATAGCTCTCAACAGGTGCAGCACTGCCAAAAATCATCTGTAAGAATGTGAAATGGTCAATGGAGAGACTTTGAAAGTCAAACATCACATTCAAGCACACATACCTCAGCCAATTCTTCAACTGTTACCGACTTGTTTGTTTCAAGAAGCTCAATCCATGCAAATTCAAGGAGTGCAGGATCCTGCAACAAATTACATAATATCCATAAGTCATAGGGGCATACATCATAGTCGTTGTATACTTGTATCAAATTCAGCAAGAACCAACCAAGTTATTCTGAGCTCTCTGATTAAAGTCTGATATCTCTGTGGTGTTGAAATTATCAACACCTGGAACTATATAAGTGATCTGCTGTGGTTTAATGGAAGTTGTAACACCATTCTGCATGTTATAAACCAGAAAACAAGTCTTAACTCTTAACACCTAATATTCAACATGTTGCAGTAACTGTTTGTCTGTTTCTATAAAGACCTGATCAGAGACTATCCAGTTCTTCCTTCCATCAGGTTTCTGAGTTACTGCAAGCAATATCCTTTCAGAATCTTTCTTAAACTCTAGCAGCAGTCCTTTCTGCAGTACTTGCTTCCGCAATTTATCATCAACAAGCTCTTTACTGCTTGTTAATACTGATCTGAAAAGTGATTGGATAATGCACATGATAGACCAACATGTATTCAAGTCAATTTCAGTAATGTAAACTCCCAGATGACTATGTAGGGATTTCACAAATCACAAGGTAGAAATGATCACCATGCTAAAGGAAGTTTGTAGATACGAAAAGATTTTTTGACTTGAAGGCATGGACATGGACCAAAAAAGTTTGCTCCATGCCTATCAAAGCCACACAAATTATATACATTAATCTAACTATAGCATTTGTAAATTGCATTGCAATAGTGGACATGGTACATTAATCATATGCTTGACCAACTTGCTTTAGATAATATTGACAATTGATATGACTGGATTGCTAATCTAGACATTAGCAGCAAACATGCTACTGATGGTTTGATGTGGGAAATGGTTAAGATACCTTCCAAGTTCTAACTTGACAACAAGGATGAAAATTGGTCTGGTACCTTGGCAGCAAGATAGATTGAAAAGAAAAAAAGAAAAAAAAAAACATTTTTCAAAGATGTCTCTTTCATGGCTCAATGATGGGGATGATGAAATATATATTTGTGATTGGTGAATGATATGATACCTTTTTTATATATATTTACTTATTATCTTTAATACTATCATTGTCTATACATTTGGAAAATGGCATGGTATGGCTCATGCTCCGCACACAGTCACTGCTATGGATCAAAGCACAAAACGATTTAGCTAACCTATAGCTTTTGAGAAGGAAGAAGAAAATGTCATCAATTATAGGGGAAAGGGGGAGTAGGCAAGTAAAGCATATATGGCAACAATTTGCAAGACATGTGACTACTCGGTATGCATCATACCAAAACACACTCAATTGAAGACAATTTGAAATTCATAATGATATAAGAGAGGAGATGTACTTGTTACTGGCACGAACTGTCCTCCGCCAGCGTAAGGCTTCAAACTCTTCAAGCACGGTATCTACGAAACTTTGGGCGGAATAGCTTCTACTGCGACCGCCTTTTATGTTATGACACCCGAACACTATCGGCTTACAAATTGAAAAACGAGAGAATTGCATATACTGAAAAGCTCGAATTTGGTGGTATCGGAACGCTACCAATGGCAGGGGCGATGGCGAAGAGGAGGACATGAGAAGTGAAATTGAATTCACCGTTCGGACTACCATGTTTGAGCATGGAAGGTTGACAACGAGGAGCAGAGCCTGGAGTGTTGGTTCCGGTTTTCGTCTTGTTGATAAAGCTTGAATGGGTATGGGGCAAACCGGAAAGAGCCGAAGGAGCGAGTCGGACCTTTCAGCAACGTCCGAAAATAAACCCGACGACGGACCGGGTCGCAGATAAAATAATCATATTAGAGGTTGGATTATTTGCATTCAACGTAATTATCAATTTTTATAGATACATATACCCAAATTTATTTTTTATCTAAAGGATGGTAATTATATATTCTTTCATAATTTATAATAATTTAATATGAAACTTGGTTATCAGTTTTTATTTATATAATTGTCAAGTTGAATGCTTAGGACATAACATTTTATTAAAAATTTGATATAATATTGCACTTTAACATAAAGCGGTGTTGTCGGTATCTTTTTTTTTTTACTTTAAGATATTGTTAAGTAAAAATAAATTAATTTATAGGCTAGTTTATTGTTGTTTCGTAAAGTCATAAAATACTTTATCAACTATTTTTTATTAATATTAATACTTTATAAAATAGTTTATCAGCTACCAGTTATTTTTTCAACAAAAACTAATATGTGTGTGTTTGTATTTTTAGTGTTAACACCATAATTTGAGTTTTAGTGGAAAAAAACATTCTTAAGATATCAATTATCTTTTTTCTATCGACTACAAATGTTAGTTTAAAGTTTAGTGTATTAAATATTATAATAAAATATAATGTTTTCTTGAAAGTAACCATCAATTTTATTAAAGAATGTCCATAAAGCTGGTGGGTATGGGCACATCAGTTGAGGGATATTGTGTTGTCAGGTCATCATCTTCTTGAAGGAAACGGGGGTTGACAAGGAGGAAGAAATGAAGCAACTGCGTTGAGGTGAAGAAAACAGAGGAAGAAAAGGAGAAGAACGCCCCGTTGCCACTCGTTACCGTGAACACGGTAAGCCACATAACACTAAAAAACGCCATGATGGGGCGGTGTGCAGCCGTGGTAACGGTGTTTCAGCCGTTTACCGATGTTCAGGTCGTGAAAAATTGCTCACTCCAATTAGTCTAAGTTTTGGGTTATTTAATATTTGGTCTGATTCTTATTTTCTCCATCTTCAATAATCCGATTTTAATAGACAATTAAAATTCCAATTAGTTTCATTATTGTTGATTAAGACAAAAATAAATATGCAAAAAAAAAAAAAAAACAAATTTTTGATTAATTTATTTTAGAATATGTTCAAAATATTTTTATTAGTATATATTGTATTAAAATTTATTTTTCGAACTAAAAACTAAATGAAAATATTGTTGCTTTTATTGCAATTTACAGGAGTAAGATTGGTAATTGTGTTGAGTCTTTGTTGAAAAAGACAGTGTTTGAAAATTAGAATGGCCAATGGGAAATGGTCATGGCGTTTGGGAAAGTGTTCTTCCAAATTGTCCTTTTTACCAGCACCGCCCCACGAAACTCCATGACCTTTCCAATTCAACACTGATATGATTTGCCCTGCTGCCTTGCCTAGCTGTGAATTCATTCCCAAAAAGAAGAAAGTGAATTCCGACACAACTTCTTTCTTCGTGCTTCTTTTAGAAACTTAATTCTTCTTGCACACGATTTTGGTTCTTCAGAAAATATTGATCCCCATCTTTCCGATCGTGTCTCAACTTCATTTTTCACTAAAAGTGAATCCCGACACAGGGATCTAAATACTATCTTTCACTTTATAGGCACTAATCCTTTGATCATCGTGTGTTGTTGTTGCTCTACTGATTGATCTATTATTACCAATCTTGTTCATGAGCAGATCATATAAAGTTGAAATGGGGGCTGAATTGTTCAAAAAGTATGCTGGCAGTTCAATGAAAATTTTCTACAGATCACTTCTTAGGCATCCGTTTCTTGTGGGTATGGTTTTTATTTTGATTTGGATGCACCGGTTGTTTCCTTTATTCTTTTCGTTTCTGTTATCTTCTTCTCCTGTTATCGTGTCTACCGCTGTTCTGCTTGGAACTCTGTTAAGTTTTGGTCAGCCAAATATACCAGAAATCGAAAAGGAACCCAAATCTGAACAATATGAGATTCAGAAATTGGAAAGTAAGGTTATGAGTCAAACTGAAACTGTCGAGAGAGATGGAAACTTTGCTTCAGAGGAAACTAACATCAGTAGAATTGAAGTCGGAGAGAAGTCATTTGAGGTGTTTAATTCAGTTAACGATGATAATTCTTGTGTAGAAGTCAATAAACCTCTTTATTTGGTTGATGATGGTGAGTTTGTGACCGAGGAAAATTGCGAAAATTCCCAATTTGAGGAAGACCAGTTAGTAGACGAAGCAAAGAATGAAATAGATGAAGTGAAGGTTGTTCTGGGAAGTCATTATTCTCCACTTAAGCAGTCAGAGGATGAACGTATCGTGTTGGAAAATGATGATAAATTATGGGAGGGTTCTGCTGATCCATTGAATTCTGATCCTGCTTTGCTGTGGAAGCGTGTAGAAGGAGACGGCTATGATGAAGATGAAGATGATGATGATGATGATGATGAAGGTGATGATGATGATGATGACGACGACTCAGGATCTGATCTTGCAGAGAGTTCATCACCAGATGCGTCAATGGCTGATATCATTCCGATGCTTGATGAGCTTCATCCACTTCTTTCTGAAGAACAAGAAATCCGTCAAGAGCATAATGATGATGAAGATGGAATGATAAACCATGAAGATTCAGAACATTCCCTTGAATTGAGTGAAAGTAGCAGCGAGTCTAATGATGAAGATGGTCATGAAAACCATAAAGATGAACAAGTTGGAGAAGAAGAAGAAGAAGAAGAATCTAAACACACTGACAAAGAAGATGAACCCAGATCCGCGATTACATGGACAGAAGATGACCAAAAGAATCTCATGAATCTTGGAACATCAGAAATGGAAAGGAATCGCCGTTTGGAGAATCTTATTGCCAGAAGAAGGGCACGAAAAACCATGAGAATGCAAGCTGAAAAGAATTTGATAGATTTAGAAAGTGCTGATCTTCCATGGAGCATTCCTCCAATTTCAACTACAAGAAGCAATCCTTTTGATTATGATTCCCACGATAACATTCCAGGGTCTGCACCTTCTGTTTTGTTGAAAAGAAGGAATCCATTTGATCTTCCATATGATCCGAATGAAGAGAAACCTGATCTTGTGGGGGACACTTTCCAGCAAGAATTTGCAGGTTTTCAACCAAAGGAGCCGTTTTTTCGTAGGCATGAAAGTTTCAATGTGGGTCCCTCAAATTTTGGGGCTTTGAGAAGTGAAAGGCAGGAAACTAAGCTAAGACCTTACTTTGTACCTGAGCGTACTTTTCAGAGACAATTCAGTGGAATTAGTGACTCTAAGGTCAGCTCTGTACCTGATACTGAATCTGTATCTTCAGCTGATGATCTTGAAAACAAGGATCATGAAGATGAACAGTCTCTAGAACAAGAACTGGTTTCTGAAAAAGATCAAGAACATGAACATCCAGAGTTGATTTCTGAAAGCCATGAAAGACCTTACTTTGTACCTGAACATGTTGCTTCATTAGCCTATGAAAGACAATTAAGTGGGGTTAGTGACTCCAAGTTGAGCTCTATACCTGATACAGAATCGGTATCTTCAGCTAGTGATCTTGAAAATAAGGATCATATAGAAGATGACCACCATTCTCTAGAACCCGAACTGGTTTCTGAAAAAGATCAAGAACATGAACATGAAGAGTTGATTTCTGAAAGCCATGAAAGACCTTACTTTGTACCTGAACATCTTGGTTCAGTGGCTTTTGAAAGACAATCAAGTGAAGTTAGTGACTCCAAGTTGAGCTCTATATCTGATACAGAATCTGTTTCTTCAGCTGATGATCTTGAAAATAAGGACCATATTGACCTTTCTCAAGAACCAGAACTTATTTCTTTTGAAGATGATATCGATGACAATGTGGAATCTGTTCAAGTGAGGGAAGGAGATGAAAGACTTCATGAGGATGAAATAAGTGTTGGGAATGTGATGAATCAACAAGAAGTAGTGAATGTGGTCTCTTCTATGGAGATTATGGCAGAAGCAGTTCATAGCAGGGCATCAAGTCTGTCATCATCTGATGAAGTGAGTGAACAGGTATATAATGAGAAAGACGGTGATGAGGTGGCAACATCAGTTTCAGAAACAAGTTCTTATTTTGAAGAACATGGCAGCTTAATAGAAAGGTCTGAGATTGATGACACAAGTTTATCGGTGGAAGAGAGTCACCCAAAAGAACCTGTATATGATACGAGTCCTCGATCTGTTACAAGGAATCTCTCATCTTCCTCAATTTCTAATGATCTGCATGCAATTTCTGAGAGACATGGTTCTTTTTCTGGTCAAGATTCTCAAGAAACTGCTCCAAAAACTGAGATGGATTGCCATGGTAATGATGTAGAGTTGATAGATTCATCAGCAGCAGATGAAGTTGGATCAAGGAGCATAACAAATGTAAGGGAATTCAATATCCAAACACATGGTATGTTATGATTTTATCAGAATACTGATGATGTTAATACTTTGACTGTTCAGCGTGATCTTAATGACTTGGAACTAAACTTGGAGCCCTCTGTTGTGGATGATCATCTGCATAAAGATGAAAGCTTTCAGCACACTGATGATCAACATCAATCATCGAGTTCTGCAGATGTTCTATTGGACATGGATGCATCTCATCAGCCAGAACAGGTGGAAGGTTCCTCATCAAACTCTAATGGAAGATCCCATGAAAACACTCAACAGGAAGAAGTTATATCTCAACCAGAGGAGGAGGATCCTGAAGAACTGCAGGTAACAATATATAAGAATGTCCGTTTGATGGTGCTATCATAGAAGATGTTATTTAATAGCTTACAAGTTTTGTTGCTAGACAAAGTTTTAATAGGAAACAGTAATCCAGGAATATCAATATAGTAACAATGTAACATGTCTAGAAAAAATTCAACTTCAACTCCCCTGATCTTTCTAAGTGACAGGTTCAAGAACATAAACAAGGTGAAGTCACCTCATCAAATGGTGAAACATATGAAAACCCTAACCCTACCCATCACCAATTCATATCTGAAGAAGAAGAAGCTATACCACAACCACAGGAAGAGGTCCCCTTGTTAGACACAACTGCAAACGAGCAATCAGAAGACAATCCTGAATTAGTGCAGGTAAGATTTTGAGACTCCAAAATTATTGAATAACTTTTTCAGTTTGTTCTTTTTTTTTTTCAACCGATACATGCATCATGATATCTTTTGTCATTGGATGAATATGAGACTGACAATCATAAGAATAACTTTCTTTCCAGGTGCAAATCACTAGCAACAACTTGGATAATTTGCAGATGGAAGAACCACAGAATGACATTTCACGAAGCATTGATTCTGTATTGAATGCTCAATTTGATGTGGTTGAAACTGAAGAACCAGGAAACCGAGTGGATCCCGATGTGCCTGATAACATTGAGGATGTAGATGAGATTCATGAGATGGATGAAAATTTTCTTGTGGAACTGGATGCTGTAGGTGATTTCAGTGTCAGTGATTTAGTATCAACTTCAAATGAGATGGAACAGGATCCACATGCTTATGATCATGTTCTTGAGACTAAGCTTTCTGCAGATGAAAATTCTTATTCCAAGGATCTAGGATCAGTCTTGAATGTGACGGAACAGCCCCCGCATGCTTTGGAGCATGATCTTGAAACTAAACATTCTGGAGATGAAAATTCTTATCCCAAGGATCTAGAATCAACTTTGAATGAGATGAAAGAGGACTCGCATGATCTTGAGACCAAGTGTTCTGCAGATGAAGATTCTTATTCCAAGGATTTAGGATTGGAACAGAACCCACATTCCTTGGAACATGATCTTGAAACTAAACATTCTGAAGATTTAGGAGCAACTTTGGATGAGATGAAACAGACCCCACATGATCTTGAAACCAAGCTTTCTGGAGATGAAGTGTTGGGATCCACTTTAAAGGAGATGAAACAGGATCCAGATGCCTCTGAGCATGATATTGAAACCAAACATTCTGGAGATGAGGATTCTTACTCCAAGGATCTGAGATTAAGTTTGGATGATGAGATGAAACAGGACCCACATGATCTTGAAACCAAGCATTCTGAAGATGAAGAATCTTACTCAGAGGCTATAGGATCAACTTTGAATGAGATGAGAGTACAGGAGCCAGAGGCCTCGGGGCATGCTCTTGAAACTTTCTATTCTGTAGATGAGTACGCTTTCTCCAAGTTTGTTGAATCTGCTTTGAATGAGATGAAACAGGAACCACAGGCCTTGGAACATGTTCTTGAAACCAACCCTTCTGCTGATGAAGATCTTTCCAAGACAAAACTCAATATGGATGAAGAACAAGTAATGGAGTCCCAGAATGAGAAGGAAAGTAGCAACATCGAGGTTGCAGGTGCTTCTGAAGCTGAAGCATTCAAGACAAACTTGACCAACAACAATACCAATGAATTAGTGGTGGCATTGCCCCAAGAAACTGAGTCTAATTCTATTAGTGCCACATTGGTTAACCATGGAACAGAGAATGTATCAAGCACAAATAACACGGATAAAGAATGAGAAGGAAAGAAGCAGTTTATATATAATATGGTTTGGGGTTTTGATTGGAGATGATGTACTAAGCTTACTCTATATTAGTTTCAGTTTTGCTCAGTGAGGCTTTCTGCGGTTGGGTTTTGAAATTATGGATTTTTTGGTGGAAATTTTTTGTGTTCTTTTGAGTGTTTGTTCAGGGATGTTTTTGGTCTGATGTATTCATTTTTGGTTGAATGTAAAGTTTGCTTGATTAAGGTTAGGGGTGGTTTCGGGGGTCTATGGACCATTGGTGTGTCTGTGTTGTATTGCGAGTGTAAAGTTATGTAGTTGAAAGATTTATATACCTTGGCTTGTGTTTTCTCCTTTTTGCCTTTTTTTTGTTATCTTGCATGAATGAGGTAATGTCATGGAATGAAGATGAATTATTACCAATTTACTCTTTCGGTCCCTAAAGTTTTAAAAATGACACCATGACCACTAAACAGTGAATTTCGGCTTTATTAAACTATCTAGATCAGCAATTGTTTGTTTTGCCGGTTGCATAACATACATGATACATGACATATATGTGTCATCCTATATATGTGACAATGTCATGTGGAGTTGGGAGTGCGTGACAACCCCTTTAGCACTCTCTTAAAGACTTAAAAGACTGTCAAAAAGATTGTGATTCTTTATAAGAATAAATGTGATGCCCAAAGTTGGTGCAACTATCAAGCTCTAGAGTTTTTTAGTCATGCGATGAAACCATGGGAGAGAGTGCTTAAGGATAGGTTGCAACGTCAAACAGCCCAAGTGAAAACCAATTCGGATTCATGAATGGAAGGTGGACCCTTATACAGCTTGTGGGAAAAAAATAGAGAAATAAATATGGATCTTCATACGGTGTTCATTCATCTTGAGAAGTCATACGGTAGTTTATATAGGGAGAGGATTCGGAGTATGCTAGAAGATAAGAAGGGTCCTAGGGAGATTTCTCAATCCTATTTGCGGCAAGTGTTAGTGGTTGTTGACTTGTGTTCAACACCGATAGGTGACTTAGAGACTTCTTTGGTAGAAATAAGACTCTATCAAGAACGGAGTTGAATACTAGGTAGGATGTTTAGAGGTCGACGTTAGATTAAAAAGGGTTACATTTTAATGCATATTTACAGAATATCTTTGGTGCAAATTCAGTGGGGAGCAAAGGGGGGCCAAAAAGATGGGGAACATAAGAGGGCTAGAAGTCTGTATTACGGAACAACTTTAGGGGATGTAAAGCACCAAGTTATCACCTAGTGGCCACAAGGGTTTTATGTGACAAGAGGATACCATTGAAACTTTAGGAAATTATACAAGAAGGCAATTGGACCAACTATGTTGTGCTACCATAAAGATAACATCTGAGAGGCGTTGCTCTATGCTTGGCTTGAGGAACGAAGAGGTCTTATCACTTAATTTTGTAGATTCTAGTGACGAGGAAATGTTCTATGCTTGTCAGTTAAACAATTAAGATGTACGATCTAGATTTTTGGTTTGATCGTATCTGTTCTTCATCGGTTTTGATTTGGATTTTGGGTTTGATATGTATTTGTTCTTCATACATTTTGGCCTTAGAACATACATTTTCATCAAATATCAATTCTTGGTATAGATGATTCTTCTACTTAAGAAATTGATTCATCTACATAAGAATGTTTGTATCTTATGTGGATGAATCAATTTCAAACAAATGAACATTCATCTAATGGTTAACACATGAAAGCTTGAACAAAAAAAAAAATTCAATTTTGCCACATAGTATATGCCATGTTACCCATGTATGTTGGCAATCAGCGAAACAGGCAATTCAGTAAAAAGATGGTCTTATAAAACCAAGATTTGTTGCTTGGTGGCAATAGCAACAATCTTTGAACGCTAGTGACCTAAAAAGCAAATTAGTAATAAATTGGTTGTCATTCCATGACATAAGTCATAAACCCTACAGTATAACAGTAATAGACAAGAAGTCAAGAACTAAGGAACATGGAACCAAAAATATGTCAAAAGTATAACAGAAAAGCATTATAACGACAGTTGTTTGCAAAAAGACGGATTTCAATCCCTAACTACAGGAGGCAAAGGCACGAGTCGACACACCCCTCCTGCAAAGTAAAATAATGGGTTCAGGTTCACTAACTGAATTTATATAATAACTCTCTTATCATTCATTCTTCCTGAGCTGCAGATGATTCTGACTCGACTTCTTCTTCTTCTGGAGCTTGACCCTCTGGTTCTGATGGGCCCACTGATTCAGTGTTTCCAGGTCCTGGCCCAGCAGAAACTTTCACCATTGATGGACGCAAAAGCCTCTCACCAATTCTGAACCCTTTGCGAAATTCTTGAATTACCACACCTTCATCATATTCAGTTGACTCCTCACGCATAATTGCTTCATGCAGCTTTTACCATCAAAAAGATAAATGTCAAAAACAGTAATCTACAATCATTACAATTTCTCAACATATAGATAAAGAGGAGCTATTTCCATCAATGAAATAAAATTTAAATTATGTCACAAGGTATTTAGGTTTTCAATAACCCTCAACTCTCTCTTTGTACAATGTCAACCCAATGACGGGACATGAGAAAATGAATGAAAGAAAATAATCAGATCAACAACAAACTTCAAGTGGCACACCAACCACACAGGAGCCCAATTTTGAGTTTTGAGTGAGTTAGCTCGAATCAATCAAGACTTGGTTTGAGCTAAAAACATGTATTTTTAGGTCTTGATAAAACCTGAATAAAGTTTTTCCATCCTTTGAAAAAGATCATCAAGTACTCGACTGAATTTCGAGCCAACTCTGGCTCTGGGATTTGCCTGCAGCCAATGATCAAGTAGGCTAATCATTTTCTTCACTTTATTTTTAGCATCATATTTATCTTATCCACACAACAACACTTGATGTGAAAAAAGAAAAAGAGGAATTACCAATGGATCAAATGGTTGTCCGGTTGTTTCCACAGAAACAACACCAAGAGAGCCTAAAATCTCCACAAATTGCTTGTATATACTCTGGTAGCTGTTATTAATTTTCTCCTCTTTTTCACCCTCCACTTTTATTTGTGCTTTAGCTCTTTCAAAGTTGTCCAAAACAGCCAAAAGACTCTCAACAACTTCACCTTGAGCATTTGCTACCAATGTGACACGTTCCCTTTCTGTCCTTTTCCTGAAATTGTCAAAATCTGCACTTATCCTAAGAACTCGATCTTTTGCAGTTGAAAGCTCATCCGATAGTGTTGCCACTTGTCTTTCTAAACCCAACTTTTCATCTTCAATTGACTTGAAATGACTTTCAATTTCAGCTATTTTTGACTCGTTATTATCTGCCAATGCCTCTTTGTATGACTGTAGTGATGCTAAAATGGATGCAGGCGATTCTTCCACTTCACTACCATCACTCTCGCTTGAGTCAACCTCTGTAGTAGTGCCTTCTGTATCCTCCTGCTATGAATACAATAGTCAGCATGACAGGATGTTCAACAGAATCAATAAGTGAAGAAAAAACTAAACTTGATAAAGGAAATTACAGATGACTGATTAAAACATAATATTAGCATTACACTGTTTGTGCAAATATTGAATCTGAGAAATTCCAAAACCGGAAGTGACTGAATTTCTTCTACATATACTAGGTTAAGTTTTGGAAATCAAAATTGGGTTTTGAAATCTGGACAACATAATTCACAATCAAAAGTGAAGTACTTCTGAGATTACGTGCACCAACATCGGATGTCAATTTGAATTACTAGCATAAAACAAATTAACAGTACCTGGGATTGAAATTCTTCGGTGGCGACGCCCTTTTCATCTTCAGTCACAAGGGTTTCGTCGTGTGAAGAAGCGGAGCAGAAGAAGAAGCCAACTGGGAGACGAGATAACTTATAAGGGGGAGAGATTGAGGACTTGGAGGACATAAGGGGAAGTTGTGTTGGCCATGACTGTCTGCTGCGTTGAAAAGATGCAGAAGAGAACTTGGAGTAGGAGGTAAATCGATTTGGTGTTAGGGGCAGATGGAGGGTGGGTGTTCTCTGGAAGGTGGTGGTTGTGGTAGCAGCAGCGGCCATTGGAATGGAAAGGGAAGGGAAGGGAAGGGAAGACGATGGTAGAGTTATGGATAGGGGGGATTGGTAATGCTTTCTTTGAGTCGCGCCCAAAAAATATTTATAAATGGCCCTTTTATCGTCTTAATTGTATTTTAGTACGCATAATTTCGCAAAATTCTTATGAATTTATTTTAATTTTTGATTCATAATGCCACCACACAAATAATTTATAAAAAATATTCGTGGATTGGGATTTCGCATATTTAATCCTTTTTATTTTGGTTTTTCGGGATTTTCTTTATCTTCTTTGGTGGCAATGGTGATTTTGACAATGGATGATTGTTAAACGTCTGTTTAGTGGCTTAGAGATGAAAGAAGTCGGGATAAAGCTGTGACTACACAATGAAGGAAGGATATATGAAGAAAAAGTGACATTGTGATTACAAAGATTCATACTTGTCTTTTTAACAATATACATAATACATACAATGAATAGTGTTGGTGTCCTGAATCCATCACATCACCCACGATAGACAGATACACTATTCAAACAAAACTATTAAACTAGTACCAAACAAACACAAGAAGCCACATATCAATCAAAACCATGTCTCCTAACAAGTAACAAAAAGTAAAAAAGTAAAAAAGTAAAAACTGAAATGGCTCTCTCCCTCTCTCTCTACATGATATCACCTTATCACCAAGAAAGAAATGTTGCTAGAAAGGAGCGGAGCTTGTTCTTCGCAGCTGGTACTTTGGTTCTGGTGGTGGTGCGCTTGGTATAACATTCCCCGCCTCCTGCAAATACAAACCACATCACATCACATTAATCACCAAAATAAATTCATAATCTTATTAAATCATCTAATAATCAATCCAGGCTAACTAGTCTCTAGGTGCTATGAATATGATACATCATACATGTTTTGATCTTGGATCAGCTCAAAACAAGAATTGAACGCACAAAGGGATTTCCCAAAACTACTCAAGCTCAAACTCAACATAGAGACTATTCTTTTGATAAACTTGCATATTTTTAAGGAAAATGAAAATCTAACAGAAACAAAGACTTTGGAAAAAAAAAAAAAAAAAAACCATACCTTCTGTCTCTTAAGTCTTTCGTTTTCCTTTTCCAAACGTGAAATCTTGTTCTCCAGTTCATGGGTGTAAGCCTGTTCAACAACCATAAACAAATCTCTTCTTTACAACTTGGAAAAAAAAAAAAAAAAAAAAAAAAGGGGAGGTACGGGTACCTGCTTTCTTGCTCGTGAGCGTGCAGCAGATTCTCTATTTTTGATCATTCTCTTTTGCCTCCGTTCAACAGTCTTCTCCATGACATCTCCAGAAGCAACTCTTTTCCTTCCAGGAGTCTGTGTATCCGATAAATTATGCATCAAATGTGAAGGAGAAATAGGCATTTGTGTCTCAGGATACCCCATTTCCATCATTGGCAAAGATTGTTGAACAGGATGATGACCTGTCATATACACATGTTGTTGTGGAATTGGTGCAACCTGATACTGCTGCATCCATTGTGCTTGTTGATGCCCATGTCCCACATTTGAATCAACTCCTCCTATAACAGAACCACCACCTGTATTTTTCTTTCCTGGAGAAGATCCTGCAACAATCCCTGCTTTCACCAAAAACTCCTCCAATGTCATCTCACCTAGTGTTGCTTGTCTCTCTCGACTGCCCTTCTTATCAGCATTATTGTTGTTACTTTTACTCTTATGACCTTGTTGGATATCTTGCCATACTTCATCAACTGTCCTCTTTCTTAGGTCATGAGAGAGAGAAAGGCTTGACTTGCGAGCTACAGATGAAGCTTGACCTTGACCATGGTGGGTGTAATCCGCCTGCCCACCTGTCAATGTCATCATACCTTGATTCGCTTCAGCAGTCCAAACACTTTTAAGAAGCTCGTCAAGATTCATACTACTTAAGGGTTTTCCAAGATCTCCTAATTGCTGTTGAACCTCATCTAAAGTTAGGTTATACAATGAACCTTGTCTTGCCAATCCATCTGGTTTTGGTAGCTGGGACTCGCCACCACGCCCGTTTGATCCCATTTTCTCAGTCTACACTCCGGATGTACCCTCTATTTACTAAACAATCGATCAAAACTGATAAACCAAAATTAAGATGAAAACCCCTTCGTTACAATCGATGAAACAAGTGCGGATTGATAGCACAGTTGCAAAGGGTGTTCTAATTACAGTCCCTGGATTCCGACCCCAACCCTCCTAAAGAAATGCAAATCGGGCACAATCATCACAAACAAAGTGTTGCACGAGATGCAAATGAACAACAACTCACCGAAGAGGAAAAACCCTGACCATCGAAGAACAGATTTAGTTTCTTCTTCCATGCAGCATCAGCGACAACAAATCTTCAAGAACGTTCTTCGTATCAAAAGAAACCATTTTGTTCAGCAAATCAGAAAATCTAGAACACAAGTATGGATTTATAAATTGGGTTAATCCAACATAAACGAAACATATGACCACATTCTAGATTCTCGTACTGGTAGAAGAATGGGTGAATATAATATTATTATAGTTGTAATCTATTTACTCACTAACCCCACCACCAATTGGGGAGAGAAAATTTTGATGCCAGGTTGATAGAAATTCCAAGTATATATCTGCTGACTTTGAAAATATTTATTTAATAAAACGTCGGAAAAAACAGAAATTGCACGCCCAAAGGTCTGATCTTGAATCTTCAAAACGAAAAACTGCCCCTTCTTCTTTCACTTTTCCTATTTTCGATCTTTTGCCCTTCTTTTTCACGAGTCAAGAGGGGTTTGGTTGGATATGTATGCAGATAATGTAATCAAGGCAAATAAAGTTATGAATGTCAATTTCATTATAATCTCATTTCAATTTTTACCTTTTCTTACTTTTCTAACTTAATAATAATATGGCTGTAAATAATTTTTTACATTTTTATAATAGAGTATATACACGAATAATAAGTGTGGTTTGGGGATGATATCAAAGTTGTCAAGATCAGAATCCTACGTACGATCGTTTTTTGGTTCGCAAGATCGGCATCGGGATCCTAAGATTCCACAAAATAAAACATAATTTTAATTTATAATTTTTAAACATGAAAAATATTTCATACATTTAATTTTTCGTTCAAAAGTTATAAAAACTTCAAAATGTTAGTTATAAGTCACAACACAAAATTATAAATGGTAAATTGGTAAAACGTAAAAGACATAAAATGGTAAAAATAATTTTCATTTGCAAAAAAAAAAAAAAAAAAAAAAGAAAAAAAAAGAAAAAGGAAAGTAGGATCGGATCGGATCTCGATCATACCCCAAATACGATCCTCTTACGATCCAGATCGTTTTTCATACCTACGATTGTGATTTTGACAACCATGGATGATATGGTAGTTTTTTTTTTTAATTCCAAAAGACGGTCTCTTGGATCATTTTAAAATTGTATTTTCATAATTATTTCAGGATCGATCCAAATATATTTTGGGTCGGAACGTTAAGAAACAAAGACTCCATGAAAGTCACAAATGTAATAAAGATTTGAAAAAAACACACCATTTTATTAAAATCATTAATGACATTATCAAAAACATAAATATACAAACAACTAATTTAAAAAAATATATATTTTTTCTAGCCTTTTTAGATGCAAAATTATCGATAACACTATTAAGTCGATTCTTTATAACATATCTTCCTTTTTATATAATGATGCCAAAGTTTGGAATCGGACCAGAACCGGAACCGTTAGAACCGGAATATATAGAACCGGTTCCGGTTCCGGGTTTAAAAAATGGCTTTATCCGGGTTCCGGGTAATCCGGGTTTGGGTCCATCGAGTCCGGGTAAACCGGGTCTAAAAACCGGAACCGGTGTTTGGAACCAGAACCACTTTTAGGACCGGAACCGGTTTTTGTGAAACGTTTAAAAGATGTGTATTTCATTCGTTTCAACTCCGATTGACATGCGGTTTTTTCCAACATGTAGTTTAGAGTTTGTACATGATTTTAGACTATAAATTTGCTATTTTTAGTTTTATATTCATTGACTTACAGTCCCCGAAAGTCGAGATAGCAAAGCTGGAAATTTTTAGTTTTTCAATTTTTTTGTATTCGGTGAAAGTTTTAAAACATGCATATCTAATTCGTTTGAAGTCGGATTGACATGTGGTTTTTTCCAACTTGTAGTTTACAGTTTGTACATGAGTTTAGACTATAATTTTGTCATTTTTGGTTTAACATTCAATGATTTACAGTCCTGCGAAATCGGGATATTAAAACTGAAAATTTTCAACTTTTCAACTATTTGTTTTTGTACTGTGTATTATGTGAAAATGTTAACACATGCATATCTCATTCGTTTAAAGTCGAATTGACATGCGGTTTTTCCGGAGTGTATTTTAGAGTTTGTACATGATTTTAGACTATAATTTTGTTAATTTTGGTTTCATATTCAATGAGTTATAGTCCCCCAAAGTCGGGATATCAATATGAAAATTTTCAAAGTTCAACCCACTAACTAGTAAGTAATTACCAAAAAATTTCGGTTTTTCCAGGTTTTCCGGTTCTAAACCCACTTTATCCGGTTCCAACCTACCCACTTTGATGTTTCCGGGTTTTCGATTATAGACCCACTTTACCCGGAACCATACCCGGAACCGAACCGGAACCGGTTCCTATATACCGGTCCGGTTTCCGGTTCTACAAAATCGCGTTAACAGGTTCCGGGTTTTCCGGGTCCGGGTCCATCCGGTCCGGGTTTGGACTCACTTTCATCCCTATGCCAAACCATTCAACATTTCTTATGATAGTCATGTCTCAAATTATAGTCTTTGTGTATCCTTATTATCAAAGCAAGTTGAAAAATAAAATTAGTAACAAGTCATAAATTTGTAAAATAAATAAAATCAAAATCCGTTAACCAACAATTCTAATTCACATAATACCCTATCAAGTCTGAGATAAGCAGTTTAATGGTTTGAAGATGAAACTCTGAAAAATCAAGTCAAAAACAAACATTGGAAAAGTTTTATAAACAAATGAGGTTTTATAGTAAATGACATCCACCATAGTTGGATTGATGCATGGGGTTTTATACCCATGTGAGGCC